GATCACACAAGGCACTCTTTGTAATAGCTATAGCTCCAAACAACTACTCGTTTTCAATAACTAGTTTTATGAATCAAATGAGTAAATTCCTTTTTTAAAAGCATAACTACTTGATATAAAATTCACGGCATATAATACTGATGTGAGTGTAGCCACCTAAATCTCGACGAAAAACATTCAGTCCCACCTATTTCTCCGCGCATCAAAGTCTAATATTATAGTCTGACGTGGTAATTGAATTCTTGCTGTTCGACGTGACTGTCTAAATATTTGTTGGTGTAGTTAAGAACGTTTATTTTAGCACTTTCTTAATTCTCAATCAAAATCACTCAGGATATCGTCAAAATTTGGCAGGATCTTCAGGATGTAATTTTAGTGTTTCTGCAGTCTTTTCATTTTACTCAAGGCTAAAACATGTCCCATATGATGTTTTTGAATAATATTTATTTATTATTAACTTGTGATAGGATACGGTGAAATATATTTTGGTTACTGGTGGGGTTATCAGCGGAATCGGCAAAGGTATTATCTCTAGCAGCATCGGGACTATTTTAAAAGCATACGGATGGAATGTTACGTGTATAAAAATTGATCCTTATTTAAACATTGATGCTGGTACCTTCTCCCCCTTTGAACATGGAGAAGTTTACGTTCTGGATGATGGAAGTGAAGTTGACCTTGATCTGGGAAATTATGAAAGATTTTTAAATATAACATTGACCAAAGATAATAACATTACAACGGGAAAAATTTATCAGAAAGTAATTGAAAAAGAACGTCGTGGAGATTACCTTGGGAAAACAGTACAAGTAAGAATGCTTCATCAAATGTTTTGACTTAATGTATGTGCATATTTTATACTATCATTATCCTCCTCTAAAACCTAATTATTTTAACACTATCCCCGTTCTTTCCTCTCAATTCCTGTTCGTTGTTCAGTTTAGTTTATTGCTTATATGTCTAGGTGTGGCGATATCAATCATTGCAATAACATGCTAATTTCTAATTTTATCAGCTTAAGTGGTTGCCTGTCTGATGACTTTTTGATGTTAAATGGATTGTTTGGTTGAATTGACCTGTGTTCCAGGATATGAATGTCATTCGCGACACGAAACTATGTGTCACAAATAAGTTTGTTGTATTTTGAGTTAAATAACATAAAATTTATTTGTTTAGTGTATTTTAATTCGTTATAATCCAGTGTTTTTGTCGTAGGTCGTCCCACACATCACAGACGCTATTATTGAATGGGTCATAAATGTTTCTCGAATTCCAGTAGATGAAAGTGGTTCAACCCCAGAGGTATGCATCATTGAACTTGGTGGTACAATTGGCGATATTGAATCTATGCCGTATGTTGAGGCCTTCAGACAAATGCTTTTTCGAGTGGGAAGTGTCAATTTTTGTTGCGTACATGTCAGTCTAGTACCTCAGCTTCAGTCTGTTGGAGAGCCTAAAACCAAACCTACCCAAGTTAGTTTCTATTTATTCCTTAGCTTAGTAAAGTATTGTTCCAATTTTATAAACATGCATCATATATACGTGGTAGATCACATACCAGAAACATCGGGTTTTAAACCGTTTTACACATGATTCCATCCATATTTTCGTTAGGACAGATAACAATATGTGTAGCTTTAATTATCTAGTTTATTTGCATATTATGAACCAGTGCCAAGACCTAAGAACTGTGAGTTCGACCTGTTTACCATCGTATGCCCAATTTCATAAGGGATTATGTTGTTTGTCCAGGTAAATTTCTGTGGTGGTAGTGAATCTTGGTATTGTTCTGAGGATATATTTGGTTATTAAAGTGAATAATAGATAATTGGTCGGTATACTATGCACAAAAATGCAATTAACTCATTCACCAGATACGTGAATAGGAGCCACACAAAGTGTGAGAGCTGATGGTACAACTACCCGGCTGCCCATATCAAAGTACATGGGCAGAGTCTAAACTTAAGACTCAGCTACCGGAAGTCTAACGTCTTAACCATTATGTAACTGCGCAACTAATAACCATTCACAGGTTTGAATTATTGGCAATCTTGAACCAGTATCAAATGATAACAAACCTGATCAGCAAGAGTTTTCTTTCTAGAAAATTGACGCTTTTAAACGGTGTTTTTACGCAGAAACGAACATAACAACATGTTATTTAACATAAGCGATTGGACTCATGAACCAATAACATTAAAAACCTAACTATCAAGCTTGATTCTCGGAAATCACAACCAGATAATTAGGAACATTTTTAAGCCAGCAAGCTCACTTCAATCAATTTCATGCAAACCAAAGAATAAAATGACTAAAGAAAAGTTAAACATCATCTGTAAAATAAATTGCTCTAGCTATCAGAAACATTGCATCAACCAAAGTGGCCATCCTCTTCATCACCATCTTCATGAACAATTAGTTGTCACAAGTAACGCCATGCCTTCTTTCATACCAATGTGGATATGCGTTCGGCCATAGAAATGTTCCTATCATAGACGGAAAGAGTTTATAAAGGACCAGGTAACTTTTAGAGTTTTGGCACCCAAGTCAATCAGGAATCGATGAAGATATTGCAATGGATCCAATTTCTCGACCAATTGCAAAACCATAAATAACCATAAGACCAAGAACTAAACCAAGATGGAAGACAATCAAAGCAAATGTCCAAACAATGAAATAACCTCTATTGACAACAACCAATCAGATAATCTTCACAAAAAAGCTCTTAGTCACATATAGAGAAATTTCAGTAACTCACTTCTGTTTGAAGTTTTTATGGAAGATATTCTCTGGAAAGGTACTTCAAAGAACTTAGCTCCACCGAAATTTTTTTCAAGTGTAAGCTTTAGTTGTAGCCTCATAGTTAAACAACTCATCTCTGAAGCTAGTTTGTGCGTCCGGACCCAACATTGCCTACTTTAGTTTAAGGAGCCAAATAGTTTAGTCTGACTATCTTACTAAACATATAACTGAATGTCAAATGCATGGTCTTTCAATCAGTGATCTTCAGTGCTGTTAGAGGTATGAGGGCTGTTATCAGCTACCGGTTACCCACATCGTAGAAGGGTTCTTCTAGAGGTACCTGAAAAGTAAATCGGGTTAGAGGTGGCCTTAGTGACCCGAGAACGTGACCGCAGTGCCCAAGGGACGACTGCCTGAGACTGGTCACATACGACCTTTTTGTGAGTAGTGTTCGTGTTAGCTCAGTACTTGTTGGGACCTTACCTCTGGAGACTAAAATCTGTGGGATAAGGTGAGGTGTGCATTTTTAGGATCGACCTTCTCTAACCTCATTCTTTCTTGTAGGAAGACAGCATCGATGTAATGTTAGTTGCCTGAAGGAAACACCTTACTGCCATCACACTTCCGTACAATCAGCAGTGAAACTTCGCCCTCGGACCTTACATTTGCTGCTTTTAATCTTACCGCTCTTCAGCCTACCTGTCTGACATGGTGGGACCTTGAGGAACGATTGTTCCCACCAGTATAGCTCGATTGGTTCATTACGATAGGCTAGCCTGACCACCACGTCAAGGTAGCAGCAATGGTCGGGCATGATCTTTACTAAGTTGCATCAACAGTAAATAATTTCCAGGCTCACAGCTATGACGGATAATACAGTTAGTAAAAATGAGTGGCAACTGTCAAGGTAGATATTTACTAGAAGACTATTTTCTCCGCATATAATAAAATTTTTTTAATCTTTTCTTTACAGCTGTTTTATTCATTTAACGGAATTGAGGTATTTATTTCTATGGAGATTTACTTTTTTTTTAATGGATATATTAAAATCTCTTCGTAACCTATACTTATTGGTTTGCTGTTATAGGTGAATGTTGTCGATTTATTATTTTTTTGGTACTGCATATATTTTACTTTTAACCGTTAACAGTCTCTCTCAAATGTTAACTTGAAAACAAACGCAGTACGTTTTTCCCTATCCTATTCTTTATCAATAGAATGTAGCTTTTCTGATTTAATTTTTTTGGCTTTTTTTAATTGGATCTGTCTAGTTCACTAAACAGTATTCCTAGGTATGAGGGAATCGGTATCATTCGTTCTTACGGACTACAGTATTACTAAATATTTACTACATGTGGTTTTATTTTAATTTTAGTTGTAAATGATTGATATTTAATCATTTACCTGGTAAAAAGTTCATACCTTTCTATTTTTCCGCCTATCGAATGAAAACACTTCGATTTATAGTAACCAATGATTAATGAATCCATTCTGCTGGTGGTTTTCATTGTTAATTAATATAATCTAGATAGCTTTTTTCTTACTGGGCGTCACTAGTTGTTCCATTCATGCACTACTGAAGATATTGAAAGGAAAATGGAATAACTTTCCTACACTCCGTAATTTTGAATGTATTTTTTTCATTGATATCAATTAGTCGTAAGATATCTTACACCAAACAACTAATAATCAAATTCCCCGAGGTCCAGGTATAAGTATATAGTATATAGCTACGTTATCGTATACGACATGACATTTTTGTCTAAATTAAACCGTATGAGAAAATTAAATTTGTTTGATTTCACGCAATTTTAAATGACATTCAACCTATACATTTATTTACAAACTTTCTTATGTGTTACATTGTAAATTCATCCTGAATTCAACAACGTTATGTGGTAGAGTTGTACGTTAGAAAGATTGTTCGTATCAATATTTTTGATTCAGATAACGTAAGATTAGTTAGATTAGCAAGCGATTCCTAATACGAAGTTGGTAATTGAGATAAATTCTAATTGTTCAAATATGTTGATACATTATGTACTTCAAATCCTGCTCTATTAGTTTACGTGGAAGGATTTTCTTACTTGTCTATTTATTACGTTTTAGTAAGCTAAAAAAATTTTCAAACAGAATCATTGATTTCTTCGTAGATACCGCAAACTAATTTTTTAAACTATAATTTTCTTTACTTCGTATCGAATTTATTGGCAAGCGTACGTGAACTGCGTGCCTGCGGTTTACATCCAGATCTTCTTATGTGTCGTTGTAGTTCACCGCTACCTTCTAGTGTCATCAACAAAATCAGCCTATTTAGTCAAGTTGCAGTAGAACGTGTAAGTAATTCATAATCTTTTTGAAAGTTTTTTTCCTACTTAACCAGTTTCTTACTACGAATCATTTTCCTTTACTTACTAATATTTTCCAGATTACCCGAAAAAACTACAGTGACTATGAAATCCTAGTTCACAATTCACTTCGCTTAAAACTCTCCCTGTGTTCATATGAAAATTTGTATATTTTAATGTTGTCTTGCAATTATTTTTAGTCTAGTTAATATACCATTAATAGTAGCATTAGTAACACTAATCCATTCCTAAAACGTTAGTTTGTAATAGGTCTGAGAGATATGTGACTGGATCCACGTCTGTAAAAGTAAAGTTAATAGGATTAAAATGAGATGAAAACAATGATTAAAGCAGAATACCATAACCTCTTTATTCTGTTTTCATAGACGCTCTTCAGCTGCTCACTTGTATTGAAAGATAAAATACTGTTACTGTAGTTTATAAACAATGACTACAGAAAAACCCCATTTAAACTGTATGGTTTGTCTGACTAAATATTATAGTTCTTTTGTTGAGTGTGAATTACATGTGTTATAGAATGTTCAAAGTACTTATTATTATTTTACTACCATACACCAATTTGTGGTCGTTATTGTTCTTTTTTTTCGTTTAACACACACCTTACATTCTTTATCTCTTCCCATTCTCATTATTATTGTGTGGCGCATATGTATTTGGTGCTCCCTCGTACCAATATTTATGTGTTCGTCAAGTTCCCACTTATTGGTTCTTCTACTTTATAATTCATTGATAATATTTTTGATTTTTAAGTTCATAAAGAATCAACAATTTCTTCAGTATTTTACTTACTAATTCTTTATTGCTAAAATAATTAATAAGTGATATCATTTCTTTTTCAAACACGTTCTGTATTACCGTGACATTGAAACAAGTGAAACTTAATCTATAATATTTTTACCTACCTCTAATTTATTTATTATTATTTATTTATTTGAGCACATAAATATTGGTACAAGAGAGCGCCAATATATATGCGCCACACAAAACAATGAAAATTCGAAGAGAGAAAAGAAAAAAAAAACTAAGGAGCACAAAAGAAAAAGAGAACGACAACAAAGAGATTGGTGAAAGGTAGTGCGGTCGTAACGATGGAACGGAAAGGTACAATCGGAAGAAATCTTTCAAGTAAGGGAGACACAACCACTTTTTATGAAGAAAGTAAAAGAAGGTTACAGCAGGATCGCCACTGGCTTCTATTCTGAGCCATATCTGTTAACGTCTCTAGCCACTGTGTAGCACCATCTCTCAGACCCCAACCAGGGAGTCGTGAAGGACCGACAGAAGCCAGTCCTTTGCAGCTTTCTTTCATACCACGACACCATGTCATGCACTGACCACCTCTCCGCTTTTTCCAACCAGTCCCAGAGTCGGCAAACAATGCACGACGTGGAATTCTCTGCGACGACATTCGTAGAACATGTCCAAGCCACCGAAGTCGGTGTTTCAAGATGGTGACACCAGTTGAATTATCATCTCTGTGCCCAAACACACGATGCCGAACCTCTGCATTACTAACATGGTGTTGCCACTGAATGTCAGCAATCCTTCGGAGACAGCGATGATCGAACACAGAGAGTCGTCTAACGTCCTCAACTCGGAGAGGCCAGGTTTCACAAGCATAGAGCAAAACTGCTCTCACCGACGCGTTGTAGATCCGACCTTTTACAGCCAGACTAACATCACGAAGGCGCCAAAGGTGGCCCAGATTGGCATAAGCCGCTCTGGCTTTCACTATACGTGCATTGATCTCATCACTCACACCCCCACCAGCACTTATGCAGCTACCCAGATACACGAACTTCTCGACTACTTCTATCTGCTCACCATCCAGGGTGAGTACAGGATTAGAATCCTGCCAGTCTTGTAGAAGTACTTTGCACTTCGAAGGTGCAAAACACATACCATACCTACGGACACTGATTGCCAACTGATTAAGTGCGGATTGCATGCCTTGGGCATTATCGCACAGTAAGACAATATCGTCCGCATACTCAAGGTCGAGAAGTCTTTCTCCAGGCAACAGATCCACACCACCATTACTTACATTCATCAGAGCTGTTTCCAGAATGTCATCGATGGCAAAGTTGAAGAGGAATGGTGAGATTGGGCAACCCTGCCTAACCCCACTACTCGTATAGAACAATGGAGAGAGGTGGTTGTATGCCCTCACTCTGCCTGAGGTGTTTTTTATATAGGGCTTTTAGGATGTTAATAAACTTCTCAGGCACACCCTTCTTCAATAGACAATCCCAGAGAACAGTCCTGTCCAACGAATCGAAGGCAGCCCTGATGTCAAGAAACACTACGATTGTTGGCCTTTGATAAGTATGGCGATGTTCTAACATTTGGCGGAGGGTGAAGATATGATCAATACAACCTCGACCAGAACGAAACCCAGCCTGCTCCTCGCGAGTCAATCTTTCTCGGGTTTTGAACAACCTACGAAGTATGACGGAAGCCAATAGCTTGGACGCAATCGGAAGTAGACTTATCCCCCGATAGTTGTTGCAGGAACGACGTGAACCCTTTTTAAAGATAGGGACAACTATCGACTCATTCCATGACGTTGGTACACTCTCTAATTCCCAAACCTTTGTAAACAACGTCGTCAATTCCTTAGTCAAAAAGTCACCACCATCTTTAAAAAGAGCCGGAGGTAAGTCATCTGGGCCAGGTGATTTGTAACGCTTCAAGAGTTGGAGTTCCTTGCGGACTTCCTCCTCGTTCGGTGGATCAGTCGTCACCGGCCATGGAGGGCAGGACAGTCTGACCGATGTTGCCGGAGCAGCAGGCCAGTTGAACTGCCCTTCGAAAAATTCTGCCCATCGTCCAAGACGTCGATGGATGTTAGTGATTGGCATCCCATCATCCTCGCAGATTGTTTCACTCACACCAGACTTCTTGCTGCCAGTGGCTCGGATGAGCTGGAAGAGCTTCCGGTAGTTACCAGATGCAGCTGCTGCTTCCATCTCATTAGCACGCTCCGACCACCAGGCTTCTCGGTCCTTACGCAAGCTTTGCCCAATTTCCCTACGTAACATCCTTCGTTTATGGTCAAACTCACGGTCACCCGGAGTCGACCGACGGGCTTCAATAAGTTGTAAGGAACCAGAAGAAACCCAGTGCTTATAAGCGGGACGTTTCGCAAACCCACAACTGACTGTTCCCGCCATTTTCATGGCGTCATGCAATTGCAACCAATGCTCATCTATACTTTTCGGTGGAGTGGTAGCTAGCCTAGAAGCTAGCTCGGTTCGATACTTATTTGCAACAGAGGTTGCAACCAGCTTGCTAATATCAATCCTTTGGTGGTGGTCACTTCGTTGTCCACTGAAAAGTAAGGCAAGATTGGCGCAGACCAAGGCATGGTCAGAGTCCAGATAGGTACTCCAAAAGGAGCGGCAGTCTTTTACACAACCACGCCAGCGGAAGCTGATCGCGATGTGATCAATCTGAGTCCAGGCTTGGGATGCAGAGGGAGGACGCCAGGTGGCACATCGGCGATGACTGTGCCGAAAGTTAGTGCTAGCCAGAAACAGGTTGTGGTCTGTGCAAAGTTGCAGTAGACGGTCCCCGTTATCTGACCTGCGACCAACGAGTCCCCATCGGCCACCTAAACGACTCTCTTCTGTGCCTAGACGCCCGACCTGCGCATTCAAGTCTCCGGCTAGTACTACAATATCTGTCGAGCGCACTTTCTGGAGAAGAACAGACAGCTGGTGGTAAAACTCATCCTTGATTGCATCCGGGCTGCAATCTGTCGGGGCATAGGCGGAGATGACGAAAAGACATCGTTTCTCACGCCGATTTCTTCTCACTTTGATGGAACTTTCTAATCTAACAGCACATAACCGACTGTTAATGGGGATCCAATCGACTAGTGCTGCCTCAGCTCTAGCGCTTAGTGCGACACCAACGCCAGCAAGACCAGACGAAGATGCCACAGGGTCCCCGGATAAGCGCACGTAAAACAAGCTTTTCGAAGCGACAGATGGAGATCGAATTTGTAGTACTTCGCCAGAGTCTTGAATACGGGTCTCGGATAGACAACAAACATCAATATTGAGACTTTCCAAAGACATAGCCAGCCCTATCTGTTATCCGACCTGCATTAGTGTGCGAACGTTGAAGGCAGCCAGTTTGAATGGTGCACGTGGTTTCAGAAAAACTGCTTCAGTTCTCGTATTCGGTGGTAACATACAATTTTCAACCGAACAGTGACTCGAGAACGTTTAGATACAGTCGAATTTCCACCAAAGACGAGCCGCTGTATAAGTATAAAAGAGGGTGAATAATGTGGAAAATAATAATAATAATAATAATAATAATAATAATAATAATAACAATAATAATGGTAATAATAATAATGGTATTAATAATGACAATAACAGTAATAATTATTTGAATCAATTGAATGTTGATCGGAGAGAGGAAATTAGTTGCCGTAGTCATAGAGTTCATTGTTTGTGTGTGGGCTGTGATACTGCCCGGGTGCCCAAACCGAAGCAGGTGGTTATCTTAGGGGGCCACACCCCGAGCCTTTGACCTAATGGTCTAACCCACAAGGCAGTGGAACATCGTGAGGAGATGCAATCCCATGGTAGCCGGTGACCAACGATTGGTTCATACGCCATTTGTTCCCGCAGGATACTGGAGCCCATGTGCACCATTGGTTTGTGATCCGGTTAAAGCGCCGGACGTTCGCTTTTCGTCCTCTCATTTTCGTAAAGAACACCCCCGCCACGAGAAGGCAATGAGTAGGACTTCCCTGGCAGAGGCTGTATACGCGCGGCCGTGTGAGAGTATTTCGAGAGGGAGAGCGGACTCTCCCCACTCTCGGCCGTACCAGGGCGTTCGGGGGCTTTTTAAAAGTGCCCATAGCACGAGGCCTCTAAAATGTAAATTAACACAAATAGGAAGTACTTATCGTCAGTCAGAAGAAATGAGTATAAAACATACATTCTGAATGTTAGAGGTGTAAAGAAAATCTATAATTGTGAATAACAGCCATAATCATATAAAAAGAGTATAATTGGTTATTAAGTAAATATAAACTATATCACAGTCTGAGTGATAGATATTTAAAGGTAACACTGAATTGGTCTTTTTCTATGCGTTTCACGCAGTAGAAACGAATTTCCAATATTCTTGTACTCAATAATTTTTTAATGAACCGATTGCTCTTAACCTCCTTATTTTCATTTTCAAACTCTGGAACACTGTACATTGTGTGGGTTCTATAGAAGTGGTCACTATCTAAGCTAAATATACTGAAAAATATATTGATTTGGTTGGCCGACTTCACACATATATCTTGAACTTCGTTTTGACTATTATATGATTATTTTAATAAAAATGTATTGTTATCTTGCTTTAAATGTGCTTGTTTAGCTAAAAATTCATATTATCATTTTGTAAAACAGGTTATTGTTTCCTTAGATGTTAGTGATTTATATGAAGTGCCTTTACGATTAAATGATCAAAATTTATGCTCAATACTACTGGAGCATTTCCAATTGAATCCTAAGCTACACATTGAATATCCAATTCTTGGGAAATGGAAAGCATTGACTCGTCAAATGGAATTGGCATCGGAAATTGTCCATATAGCTATAGTTGGAAAATATACCAAACTTAGTGACGCTTATTTGTCAGTGTTGAAGGTAATTTAATGTGCTATTTTCTATTGCTTTTTCTAAATTTCATGCATATGCTAACAAAACGCAGGTCAGGGGAATTACGTGTCGAATTCAAATCCTCAAATGACTTAGTTCTGTTGAGTAACGACTAACAAAGTAGTCTACTAATCACCGTCAGCAACAATGCAGGCATGTTTTGACTGGATTTTTACCCCTCTAAATGCAAAATGTTATTTCAAAACTGGCCTATATCAACGTTTAAACCGTTGATAGAAATTAAAGTTGTCATGGGCGTCGACAACTTTACTTATCTTCAAGGTCTCATTAGCCTAGGTTTGTTGGTGCTGTGACCAAATTATGGCACGAAATCGGAAAGCTCTGTTAACTTTTTGTATTTTGAGTCGTAGACGAGATGTTCACCTGCTAACTATAAGGTGAGTATACTGGTCAACATTTCGCTTTGTTTTAATTTGTGGCTGTGCAATATGGCTTTCAAAATAAAGAATATACGTTGGTTAGTTGTATCTGGTCATAAGTGCCTCTGAAACATCGTTCGTGTATGCTTGGGCTATCGAGTGAGCAATGATGATTTTAGACACAGGGTACTAGTTAAGAATGGGGAATCGGTTGGTGAGATAGCGAATCTTCATCGACTGAAATGATAGGAATATGTATTATGTGCGCTGAACCACCTACCTTGACGTGGAATTTCGGATGTAATAGAACTAGATTAAAAGAAGACAGGAAGCGGCCTAACCAAGACGTGATTTTATTCATTGAAGTCACTAGCTGTTAAATTGAATGATATAAGTAAGTGCAAACTACTCTCCTGCTGATTACCGTAACCAACGGTTTGAGGCTTTAGGTGACATGGCTCTCAGTTGTTCACTGATGCTGACGCGTTCACTTTTTATCCCTCCAAAATTATTTTGTACCTCTTATTTCGTTAATGATTTCTTCTTTAGGTCACACTTCTCGACCCTTAATCGTTTTTACTACTGTTGATAATACTATCACTATTCGTACTAATATAATATTTCCCTCGGTGATTTCTCACTTGATTGTTGTAGTTGTGTAACTGAAATCGATACTAGGTTCTATGTTACTCAGGTCTAATTAACTGAAAACCGATTATATTAATCTTCACTTCATTGCATGCCATAAGTCATTCATTTCCAGTAACTTTGCTATCGGAAAGCTTGGCTTTTTTACGCAGTTTTGCTTAAATTTTCTATTTTCCATCAACTATATTTTGGTAAAATCCCCGTGTCAATATGTTAATAAGGTAATTTGTGGGATCGAATTTGAAATAATCTACAACTGCTTATGCTCCTGATATTTGGTTAACTAAACTAGATAGTAAGAGCTGGTAAAACTGCCTTGGAAACTAAAATACACTGAGTCACTGTACTAAAAACTGATACATGGGTACATGCAATTAGAAACATGAGTTGCCACCTCTTCAGTTAAATGCTCTTGTTTAAATAGCTCTTCTAGACTAACGTGCAATTTACTATACAATCTTGGTTTGTCATGTGAATTTCCCTCGAGGTTGACCAATAACTAGCAACGAAAGGTCATGCATAAAATCTCGAGGTCAGTCAATCCAGATCTCACTGAAATAGAAGTAAAATTCCTAGATTCTGTATTCAAGAAAAAAAAACAGTACAGTACGTCAAAGATCCACCGTATTCAGGTGGTGGTGTGGCAACTCGAACTGATGTACGTACGTACGAAGTTCTACGTTGTTACTGACTGACTGACTGATTCAGGTCTTAAGTTTTTTCCTTTCATTTGATTGGATCGTTAAATATTGAATACGATGCTAATTACTAGATAATATGGGTTGATACGATTTTTACGTATGAAATTTAAGCTACTGACTTTTTGTGTTAGTAAGGTCGTTAAATTGATAAGCAATGAACAACTTATCTTGCGCAACCATAGTACTCATAAATTTAATGAAAATAAACTTTTGTTTAAAAATGCAAAACAATGTAAATGTAAACATTTTATTATAAAAAATATATTTGAAATAGTCTCAGCGATTGAAATTCAAATAATTCCATCGTTTCGTCCAGGACTTCTTCAGGGTAATAATAGAAATCATTAAAGAAATATGTAGCGTTTTAACGATCAAATTAGATCAAATCTATACTGGGTTAATCCAACAATATTTGGATGTTAGTTTTAGTAAATAGGATAACATGAATCAGTTCAATGGGAATAATGTGAAAAGTTCACGATGTGGAAATAAATGACAAACGAATTGTCTGTATGTGTAAATATATATATGCAAGATAGAGTTATTAATGAATGATATTCGGTGTTAATGTTTTTATATGAAGGGAAAATAAAAGTGCAAGTTGAAGGTTGAAAAAATTGTTTCTGAATCATAGAAGTGCAAGTAAAATGCGAATCATCAAATACATAATTGTATTGCTAAAAATAAATCACATTAATTCCAGTCAAAATAACGATGCATTTGAAATAAACAGGTTGAATAAAGAAAGGGTCCAATTACTTGGCAACGAATATTTGCCAGTTAGTCGCTAGTTAAATACCATACTTTCGGTCCAGGCTGTTCTTGTTCGCCCATATATATAGCGCTTTTGCTGTCAATCTTTCTTTATGAGTGTTAAAATCTTTCTGAAGTATTTTAGTCCCTCCGAAATTAATCTTGTGTCCTGTCTCTAACGCATTTAAATTAAATTTATTGTCAGACGATGTGTGACTAATCAGTAAAAAATGATACCCGACTTCAAATATTACCAAGATTTCGGCTTTAATGTATTAGCTGTTTGTTAATGAATGTTCCATTATCAGGGTTGACAGTATTATAAATACCAAACTCTTAAGGAATTAAAGATTATCCTCCATTCTCGTATTACTTAACAACTGTTATCCTTCTTTTAAAACTGACAGTGATGGCATTTTTTAATTGTGATGTTACGTACTTTCCCCTTGAATCTCGAGTAATCCAGATGATCCCAATTAAATCAAGTTAACTTAGAAAATGGTAAAGGTTCGTTAAAATCAATATCCAACTACGCTTCGTTTCACACTGGTTTGGCTTTTATTACCTTTATGTTTATTTCTCAGGCTCTTCGTCATGCTGCAATTTATACAAATTTAAAACTGGATCTTTCACTTGTCTGTGCTGAGGATCTCGAAGAAAACACCCGTATCGTAAGTCCAGATGCATTTCATCAAGCTTGGCTCACTTTGAGTAACTCCAATGCTGTTGTTGTTCCTGGAGGTTTTGGTCAACGAGGTGTTGAGGGGAAACTAGCTGCTATACGCTTCTGTCGAGAAAGAGGTGTACCGTTTTTGGGTCTTTGTTTGGGTCTCCAATGTGCTGTGATTGAATTTTCCAGAAACGTACTTGGTTGGAAAGTAAGTCATTTATTAAAAAAAACCAATAAAAGATTGCAATTTACCCTAACACCGTCGAAAATATATGTCGTGCATTCATCAACATGTCCAAAATGTTCACCTTCAGTCATGAACTGAACTTTTACAGTTCTCTTAACAGTGCTGAGCGAATAGGAAAAAGGGCAAATTACTCGGTATATGGTTACAAAGGAACTCATCAGTCTTAGTTAAATGTACATTCTTAAAAAGAGTTTGTATCAAAAGAATGTATAGTCTTTTCTTTAATATTAATACCATCAAGAAGATCAATTAGTTCAGATGTATCTTCTAAGGAAAACTTACAGTTTATTACGGATTGGGTTTAGCAATTTAGATAACCATTTTTCTAGTTTATGTGTAGGTGAACCACACATAGATAATATTGGTCGTAATTGATTATTAGGTTTATGTGTTTTAGGTAATCCATATAAATTCGGGAAAACAGAACCCGGAGGCTTCAGTTTACTAAACGCCTCTTTGTTTATGATATTCATTTTAAGAAGCTTTAGTAAATTGGACTCGACTCTGGAATCCAATTTTCTAACATTAATATTGGATGAAACGTCCACCAGAAACTTACTCTGATCACCAAGTGTAGTTAACATTTTTACCTTGTAGTCACATTTATTCATATCGATCACCCTAGAACCTTTGTCAGGTTTGAGGATCACAATATCTGATCTACTTTGCAGGCTTTTTAAAGCGTCAAAATATTCCTGTGCCTGATTTGAGAACCATGAAGTGGTGGGCAATATCAACTAATTTTGCTTATTTGGAGCGGTTGGAACAAGAAAGTTAAACGGACTATAGAAATTTTCAAAGTGAGTATCGATCGATAAATCAGAAATTTCGACGAAGAAATTAAATCCGATAGATAGAGATTCCTTCTCAAATACAGAAAGTTTAACAGATGATAACTTTGTTAAATACTTATCTGCGGTAAATTGAAATTAATTCCCATCACTATCATCAATAATGTATTTATTCAGTTTTTGTTTAGTATCCTTTGGTTTAGCAACTACTGAACTACAGAAGTCCATAGATTTAATATGACATATTAGAGAAATATTCGATAACACTTGTGTTGCATGAATATGAAGTTCAACTCATATTTCCATATGAGGTTTCGTAAGCTGCAAAAGATTATAAACATTTGGATACAGTTAATTAGATCGTAAGTATTTATAAAACTGTCTGGGAAATGTATGTGTAGTGGTGCAAGTTTTTTAGACATCAAGCTTTACCTTTTCAGATGCCATTTTGCACTTCAGATTAGCAAGTTCATTTAAGATTAAAGAGAAACAGTTGACTATGGCATATATACCAATGGAAATGTACACCATAACTGATTGCTACCTGAGGTTTAATGTCCATCTGCACTAAAATTAATTTCTTTATTTTCTACTGTCTGCTTTCGCATATCCAATATCATGATTCTTCCGAGACAGTCGTATAATTGATATTGTAACATTGATTTAATTAATAACCTTAGTTTATCTGTTTAGAAGAATAATATTATTGATTTTTTTCATTGATTCCAAGAAATCTTTGTCATACCTTTTAATTGACTGAGAAAGTGTTTATTATTGACGACAGACCCATATAGTCTTTGAATATTCACATGGAATATCTGAGTATAAAAGAGCATCGTCTTGATTTGTACTCTATCCCGCGTATCATTTGACTAAGGGAACACCAAGTTAGACATCGAGTATATCATTTCTCTGATTAGTGTTCATGTTCCTTTTATAATATTAACGTTATTTTCAGAGGTCCCAGATGTTAATGCATTTGCACCATGTATGGTTTTCCTGTACTTCTCAGTAGTTTCTTCTTAAGACTTTTATATCTTATTATTCAGTAGTTCCGACCAATACAGTAATAATGGCACCAATGATTATTATTCAGTCACATTTCTAAATGTCACACTCGTTTTATGTAATCAAATTACTCTTGATTCTCCATTCGAATAACAGTTATTTCCACTAGTTTAACTCCTAAAATAAAACCATTAGTTTTTAATCATTTATTTCCCTACAGTATTTTGACAGATTATGCTTATGTAAGAGGCTCTGTTAGGATTTTAATCTTAACAATTCATAACTGTCTCAGAATCTACAAGTTTATCCTATTGACAAGTTTAAACAAACTTACTAATTTCCTTCCTCCGTGAAATATCATATATCTAGCAAGTTCTTTGTTTTGTAGACTTGTTAAGACTAGTCAATAAATGCAGGTCCGCTACGATTGTCATATCGAAAAGAAGTTTAGCTTTGTTGAGGTATGGCAACCTGGACCGATGCACATATGTGCCTGGTCCTACGTTGTAGCTGACTGACTGAATGAGTGTAGGTCTACTACCAGTTCCATTTTAATTGTTGTTTGTCATAACACTGTGCAAACTATATTTGACGTAGAGAGACAGGTTAACGTTCTTTCAAATTGTAAATGTAGTGGCCTGATGCTCAGTATTCGCCAGATGTTAGGCATTTCACTATAAACTTAGGTTAAGTGTCTTTTATGACACAACTTTCGATTTTTAGGCATAGTTGGATTTTGACATCAATACAAGTTTTGATATCTTGGAAAATTCCCACATAAATACTTCTTTGTTTCGACCGAGTAGTTTGTTTCTATATTCTTCTTCATTATACACTCTTGATAACTCGAAAATGAAAACATCATGAGTGTTTCTGAGAGAAAACTAATTAGGTTGTTGGCTGACCAAAAAATATAACGTTTATCCGGTAGGTGAGGATTCTGTAAACCTGTACCAAGCCAACATATGCTTGGAAACTCACCCCGTCATCGCTCAGATACACTTAGTATTGTAGAAAACTTATTTGTAGGTTAGTAAATAGTCAACGCAATGATCTCAAGAAGTGACAGTAAGTAAAGTTCCAGAACGATTGTTAAGGCGGTGAGAATATACATCACACAGTTCTTAGCAAGACGGAAAGGCGCTGAAGTCTAATTTACTAGCTTCGATTACCATACAACTCCTAATTGAAGCTCAGGAATCACAAACTGAAAAAAATAGTTCTACTTTAGACGTGAACATGGATGTATAGATAAGCCTTTAAAAGGTAAACAGACTTAATGTTGACTGTTTTTAGTTTTATTTCTTTACCGGAAGATGGAATTCAGCGTATTAATTAACAGGTTTTATGATCGTATTTATTTTTGAAAAGTGTACTAAAAATAAACATAAGTTTGGATGCTGTGCACTCGAACACTATTGATGGAGTTCAAGCTAATGGTAAGTTGTCACCAAAATTTAATTATTTTCCTTCATATCTTGTTGATTTCTTCTCACTATGACCCAATTTGAACTAAGACAACTTGGACCGATATATATTTTGGTCAGCTATCACTATCTACTATTGACTGATGCTGGTTTTATTTATTTATTGTTGTTGCTCCGTATGATATTTTGACTTGTGTTTTGTTCTGTTCTTTTACTTAGGACGCTAATTCCACCGAATTTGACCCAAATACCACTCATCCAGTGATCATTGATATGCCTGAACATAATTCCGGAATTATGGGTGGAACAATGCGACTTGGTCGACGCCGTACATTGTTGTATCTATCGGAAATTTCTAAATCATACTTACAACGTACCTACAAATGTTCAGAACTTATATGTGCTCACTTAGATTCACAATCAAAAGTTTTATCTGAATGTAGAGCAAATGATTCATACACGTCATCGAAAACCTTTAATTCAGATAGTATAATGCATCGGTTAATTAATGCACCATACTTTGATGCGCGTCATCGGCACCGGTATGAAATAAATCCAAAATATGTCGATCAACTGGAAGAATCAGGTCTTATTGTTGTTGGTCGAGATGCAGAAGTTGGCAATCGTATGGAAATCATTGAGTTATTACAACCTTTGCATCATCTTGAAAATGATTCGAATTTAGAAAATAAATGTCCTACTCGACATCCTTTCTTCGTAGCTACTCAGTTCCATCCTGAATATACAAGTCGACCTACTCATCCATCAATTTTCTTTGTTGGACTTGTATTAGCTGCATCTAAACGTTTAAGTGCTTATGTTCACAATCCTTTTCGACTTAGTCCTACTCAATTTGTATTGGATGAAGATGATAAAAAAGATACTGTGGATCTATTTAAAATAAGTCCATCTAAAAAACTGAAGGATACAGTCAGTCACTGCAGTAGGGAATCTACCAGTACCTGCATTATGGATTCAATCGATAGCAGTAAGGTGACAAGCTCAGTCAACACTGATTTTTAAGAGGAGTTGACACTAGTTCCTCAGTGAGTTTTTTTTCTATCTCATCCTTTCTCAACAGTTTTTTATGCTCGTGTAAAACCACGTGTTGTTGATTCGTTCTGTCTTTTTACCTGTCACTGGGCAAAATTCATGAGCCTAACTTGCTTATCACAATTGATATTCGTGGTATATTTATGATATCATGGTGAATTATTGATACGTACTGATTAGTTGTTTTATTGCATGGGATGAAATAGTATTCCAGTGCCTAATTTCCAGTGTCTGTCAGCTAATATCAAGTTTTGATTCTTTTTCCTTTTTACTTATGAGTTCAGTATTTAAAAGTAGTTTTTGGTTTTGCTTTATCCGTCGAACCAATTTCAGACTTTGCCAGTATTTTAGATGTGTTGTATCAATTTTTGACACACACAACAGCTTAGATAATTGTGTTAATATAAAGTGAGTTTCGACTTAAAAATTAATGTTATAATTTAGTCGTTAATGTCTCAATATTATGACAATTAATCTAGGATTTTTATCATCCTATTATCTTGAAAATCTGTCTCAAAGGTATTGTTAACTAAAATGAGTAAATCTAGTCTTTGTTATGCTATTCATTGGTAAGAAACTCGGTTAAGAAGTAACATAGTACCTTACTAATTGGCGACTTCTGAATATGTTGTTCAAGTCATTTATTATAGTGAGAGTTTTTGTGTATATTTGGTTGTCATCATGATCACTATTTGGCTACTCGATAGATGATGTATAAAAATACAATGTGGTCGATAGAAAATCGCTTAAAAACTGAACTAATGACGCGAATCCGTGAATGAGTTGGCACCAAATCCAGTGATTGTCATACTTATGTGCATGCAAGAGTTTTGTAGTGAGTGGCAAACCTTCGTAGTTTACATCACGAACTGATATTAGATAAACTACCACTGAAAACTAGGAATGATTGGACAAATGTTTTGTCCTAGTGTGGGACTCTGAGGTGCAAACTATAAGTTCACCTATCTCCACAAAATCCCTGTCAGTCAGTCAGTCAGTCAGTAACAACGTAGAACTTCGTACGTACGTACATCAGTTCGAGTTGCCATACCAAATCTCTGTACTACTAATAATTCCTCACTCAATAGTGATTAACTTTTAGATCCGACGTTTCAAGTCCTAGTGAGAAACTGTGACTAGTAGTGTACAACCGTATTGGGTGTAAAACAGTTATCCATCACAGGTAATGAAAAATAACCACTCAACATTGCAGATTAAATGAAGTTATTAGGCATCTACACAACTGAGCTTCTGCTCAGTGCTCTACAGGTTAAGTGTTCGCGCGCGGGACCGAAAGACATGGGTTCGACTCCCTTTGGTGGAGTCAGGAATGAATACTCTCGATGAGTTCCGTACTGGAACGAAATAGCTGTCCAGTATCTCCTGATTATGTAAGAATAGGATCCAATCATCAATGATTAGAATAGTTGGTGGGTATAATTGTTGTTTTGAGATTTAATTTTATTACTTCAACACATATCCCTCTTGTTTACTTTTCGATGTCTTTCTATTTCTGTTTATCATCTTTTAGTGTACTGTCGTCGCTGTGTTGTGAAAGTCCAGTTTTTATTTAAATCCTCTTTAGACTAATAAACTTAGTTTTAATTGCAACTTCATCGTTTTGTGCTCCAAAAATTCTAATTACGTACTTCACTTCTTAAAGAAGAAAAAAAGCAAAGTAACTGATCACAAAGAATATAGTTTTCTGTAATGTAAATCAATCAAGGAAATTCGTTGTATACTAATATTTATTTTTGATAGAAGAGATTTATTTTTATATGAATAGTTATTTTTCATCTGAAATAAAATAAAAAAATTCAATCGAAGAAGAATAATTCTGTTTAATACGTTTATCGCCTTCTAATTTTGTACTAAGTCAATATAAATTGTTTGTAGTACATTTTCCTATCCATGTTATACCTCAATTTTCTCTATGGTTTATGTTATGTTTTTCTTTTGGTTTTGTCGTATTAAAATTTTTTCATAATTATCCACATTTGACATTTTTTTTGTCAAAGATGAACAGGCTTAATTATTTAATCACCTTCTTCTTTATTAATAAGTCATAAAAATTTTAAAGTGTTAAAGTAACTCATATCTTCAATGCATTTGATTCCTTACAAATTCCATTATAAGATGTAGAAATAAAATGAGCTAAGTTTACTATATTATCTTTGTTTTTTTTCTCTTTCAAATACAGTACACGGTAAAAAAAGGTTTTAAACTATCTTTATTAGTTTATTCAATGAAATAAAAATTCATTAATTATAACCTAATTTGATTAATGCTTGTGAAATGAATAAGTTTCTTGAGATAAAGTTACAAATGCAACGTAAACTTGAACTCTGATTGTTTCAGGATATCTCGGATATGTTTACACCATCATCATGTCTCAGTAACTGATAGATATTGGTATAGGATTAATTCGAATCGATCCATTAATTATATAAGTGCCTACTAAATATTTAAACGCTAAATAATTATTGTTCGAAAACATTGTGAATTCATTTATTGAAAATCAGTATTCACTGAATGTCGAACGTATTCACGGGTATTGTGTAAATTTACTGTGCGAATTAGTTTGATAATTATTATTATGATTTGCTGTATTATTTTATAACGGATTCATGTGCTGTTTCAGAATGGTAATATTATTTATGGGACTGATTGGGTTTAAGTAAATGTCCTTTCTAGGTTTGATTGGTGATAAAAAATGGTTCCGATTGTCTAACTCTGACAACTTATTTAAGCTTAAATGGTTTAATAACAAATGTTATTCTAATTAATGAGGTTAATTAATTGATGATTTTGCTATCTTATGCTTGTTAACAAGACTATTGACAGATGGAAATATATTTTAAATGTTACACTACGTGACGACTAGCATTTGAGTCTCTACATTTAATTAATGAAACATTAGGATTGCCATGTGTAGGCCGATATCTCAAACGTAGTTTCACCTTTCGAATCTTTGAACACCACTCATAAATGGTCTTCCGAACAGTGTATCTACATTATAAAAATTAGGACCAGAAGCCTATCGAATTTGAGAGAATCATTGAACATTTTGATTCATATATTTGTAAAGTTCCATCGAATGATATATTTCGAAACTGACCATGGGTACAAACTACCTTTTTATTAAAGCCTGGTACAATATATTGTTCATAGTCAGATAGCGTAAACAAAACGTTTGGAATTGTGGAGCTCATTGAACGTCTTCGTGGCGTAACGTTTTGTAGTGACTAGTCTCGTATTTTGCATAGTTTCCAGTTATAACTTTTGGCGTACGTGTTATTGTGTAAAATGTTCGGTTTCTACTGAAACATTGTACGTTGATAAAAACGTACCAACCAAACTATCATAATCAAGTTCATCAGATTTGGACTGAAAACAAAGCCCAACACTGCAATTATCGTACAGGGATTTCCATGTTTTTCTGAGCATCATGCAAACCATTAATACATGACAGGCTTATTTTCTAGAATCCAAGTAATTGTAGTGTCAGTTATTATGCTAAGCCCATATACCTTATTCTAGCTTTCGGACATCCCATTTTATTCATTCTACTTGAGCCATACTTTGACCTTGTTATTTATTAGCTTATCAGTCTTCACTGTTTTTATATGAGCGTACATGTGTGTGCACATCATATTCCATGACTCATTGCCTGTCTGTAGCTTTATTTTGTCTGACTATAAATATTGAGTAACGCTTGACTAAAATGGAGTTGGCTTCCCAGCCATCTTCCCTGCGTGTCGTTTTGCTATGCTCTATTTCATTCGCTTCATATACAAAATATATGTATTCACAAATCAGTTCTCGTTTTTCGACTTGTTTAATTCCGTTATTGGCTAACGCAATTAAGTCGACGATTATATACGAGAATAGGCGACAACAATCATTCGTACGATCTTGAAGTCAGATCAACGGGCCACTAAAATGGTAACCCCGACGTGATGACAGGAAACGACGGGCCACCAAATGATCAATGTATACCGTTTTATGTTAATTCGAATGTTTGTTAACAATCTTTCAAATCCTTGATTGGGATTCGGCATTTAATATTAAAATAGGTCATTGTAGTTTACTGTGTAGGCGTGATCCAAACAACATTAATTTCATGATAATTGAATCAATAGCTTATAGTCTATTAGTGCACTGTAAAAGCATGCAAGTTAATATAATACGTGTTCATCACTGCTATAGGATTCAATGATTCTCTTAAAACAAATAAGATAGCGGCTGACATGTAGATAAATTGGTGTTGAAAGCCTGCGAACACTCCTAATAAATATCAGCTACAAAGTACTAATCCCTCTGATTATTCATAAACTCAGGAAGTCGAGTATTATTATGCCACGAAGACCCAATATCTATTCATACCGAATTAGTCTAATTGACTGTAAGTTGTTGGATTACGAACTACTTATTGATATTGTTACTCTGTCGAAGAGAAATAGGATAAAACTAAGCAATAAGGGTGAATAGAGAAGTGAATCAAGTATTTCTGTCAACTTTTGGATTTCCGATTAAAATCAAATTATTGTTTTAGTCAGAATCGAAATTTGTATACTTCGTTAGTATCGCGTTACTATTTAAACTAGAGCTCAATGTTACCTCATCTCAGTGATTAATTGTTTTAAAAATAAATCTGTTATTTGAAGCTGTTAGAATTATTTGCACGTGTTCCTAATATTACTAACTAAATTCACTAACCGATTGTGACAGTTGTTTACTATAGAGGGTCAGTCAATTATACTAGACACCACATTTATTTATGGTTTACTTCAACTACGTCATAAATTAGCTTATCAACATAATATTTTGTCTTGGAAATTCGGTTCAACGAATATTACCAATGATTATTGTGTATCTAGCACCGTCGTACAGTTCCTCTTATTTCGTATTCCCAGCTAAGTAATGTCCATCGCGTAGGTTAAATGTAAGTGCTATTCAATTTGTAATTCTCTCCTTCGTTGTTTTGAAGGATGCTTTGATGATGCTGGATCTATGTGATTCCCATCGCATAAGTGCATTTCGTGTTTCTTTATACAGCATCAAAGCAACTCCTTGAGTGTGTGAAGCATTTTCCTCTTTGTGACCGGAGTACAACAGCATCTCTTTGATATCTAGCCTTTGCTGTCCAGCTTTGGTCCAATGGATGTCACTGAATCCGAGAACCGTCAAGTTGTATGTCCTCATTTCCGTTGCTATTTGACTGGTCCTCCCGGTCTCCCACATTATCCGGACGTCCCGTGTACTAATAAAAATTGTTGCTCTGGTTGCTAGAAGAGGCATCGGCATCGCGACTTCCGAAGAATCTCGGCTTTCATCATGAGGCTTCATGATTCTTCCTTTAACTCGGAGTCAGAGTTTAAATGGTTTGATCTGGATGGCGTTGTTTTCTACGGAGTGGAGTTGCTGACCTCGTACCCAACCCTCCTCTTTTACCAGAGCTTGAGACCGGCAGTAACTCTAGAGGCACTACACATGAAGTTTGGTGTCTATCCACAATAATAACCTCAAAAGTTTAACCCCACACCCTGCCAACTGCCCTGAGCACTCTTCCCAATACAGCAGTCTTTACGCAATGGCTCGCGGAATAGTAATTTGTGACAGTGAAGAATGATAGGTACTATGCAAGAATTTACAAATCGTAAGAGTAAATGTTGAACGATGTCAAAAACATGTAGCCTCTTCATGTAGTTAGCCAGACGGAAACGTTCTTCGATATCAATAAAACAAGAGAGGACTAAGAGAGATCAAAGGAAAAACTTGCAGCAAGGTTAATGACCACTGACATTGTGTTCCAACAGTGTGTTTAGGTACCGTTCATGTCTCAGGCTAAAGTTAACAGTTTGAAGTTTAGACGAATCAAGTGTGAGACCATTAACACCAGACCGTCGTTCAATAAGAGACAAGAACTCATTAATTATGCATCATTACCAAGGTTTGATTTGATAATTTCTAATAAATTGAGCATTGGGTAGATTGTTATCCCAATAAGTATAAAATTGGATTTTCTGACGTTTCGTGATTTAGTGTAAGTCACTTCTTAAGAGAATAAATAACCAAATTAAAATTAATCCAAGTCTAAATAGCACAACGGAACCATAAGAATAATATTTGATCAATCAATAACAGGTCTGATTCGAATGAAATGCGATGGATTGGTACTTCAGTTCTACCATACCGTCATGGCACAACAGAATAACTCCAAAGAATCTTAAAACATCACAGAATTAAAGTATATTACAAAATAACGAACGCACTACGAAATACTTTAGTTCGCCTAAAAGAAAAAATCCCGTTCATGTCCACACAGAACTGCGTCTACAAATTAGGTTGTATCGATTGTGATGCCTTCTATTTTGGAGAATCATCCCGCGAAATATTGACTAGAGCCAAAGAACATATTAGGAACACAAAGAAACATCCTAACAATCCTGTATAATTGGATCAACTTCAAATTAAATCGGCAATAGTAGTTCACACCATTTTCAAGAACTACCAAATTGATTTTAAAAACATCAAAATATTGCAAAAAGGCTTTTCCAACTACAAAGAAGGG